GTGAGTGCAATCAAAAAAGTAAAGATGCCAAAAGTCTTGTATTTGGGTTGGTTACTTATGGTTAAGGTTAGGGATGGGTAGAGGTTAAGGGTGTTGTGGTTGGGATTAGGGTTTTTCCCATAGGAATGAATGGACGGTCCCCATTTAGATAGGAAGATCCTCAGTGGGGGAGTGTGTGTGTGTCTGTGTGTGTGGTTCCGGTAAACATTACATTGTGGAGACCAAATGTCCCCAAAATGTGATAAAAACCTGTTATTTTGATGTTATGGTGATCACCTTTTCGGTCCCAACAAGGGGAAATTAAGTGTTATAAAAATTCCACAAGACTTTTGTTTGGTTACTTATGGTTATGGTTAGGGCTGGGTAGGGGTTAAGGTTGTCATAGTTAGCATTAGCATTTTTCCCATAGAAATGAATGAGCAGTCCCCTCAAAGATATGAATATAAACGTGTGTGTGTGTGTGTGTGTTACAGGTGTACATCACTGCTTGGTGGCCTGACTCCTGGAAGAGGATGAGGTTCAACATGACGGCATTAGCATCTCTATCCCAGGGACCTCCGGCAAACTTTGATAAAGAAGGAAGACTTTGGGTGCACAGGCCCCCCCCCGGCATTCCTCAGCCACCTCCAGGTACAGTACTACAGGGCAGAGAGGGAGCTAAAGCCCCCTGTAGCCACCTCTGGGGCCACGGGGCCGGTATCATCGGGGCCCATATGAGGAACACCTTTTATGATTCAGAGTAGCTGTCAGAGACAGAAGCCATGAGTGAATGTCATTACCTCACTGTAGCCACTGTTAGCGTATAAACTAGATGTGGGCTAAACTTGTTGGTGAATCGCTGAGTACAGGAAGTACCCCTCCCCCCATGGGTGATCAGAAGGTCTTTGGTTTAAATCCCAGAGTCGGCAGGGTGATATTACCGTTGGGCCCTTGAGTATGGCCCTAACCCCCCCCCAGTTGCTCCTTTGACTGGCTGGTCCTGCTTTCTCACAAAACGTACGGTGCTTTGGGTAAAGCATCTGCTAAAAAAATGAAAGATGCGCAAATGTGACAGGGAGGATCTTGAAATAAGGCAAGGATGAGCGCACGCTCACAACGTCCATGCGAAGGAGCTGGAGACATCTGAAAAGGGTCTGCAGGGGTCAGGTGGATGTGTGTGATTGTATCAGAGCCCTGAGGGCTCATAGCCCAGAACAATCTGCTCCTAATGCTGCCGGCGTTCTGCTAGACTGACTTCCTAATTATCGCTGCTGGGTTGTTATTATTCCAGAGATTTCAGTCTACAAATAAAAGGGGGGGAAAGCCCGAGAGACTTTCATTTGCTAATTGTTATCCAGACCAGTGGTTCCCAAACTGGGGGGCGCAGAGGTATTGCGGAGGGGGCGCACCAATGGGATAGCCTCAGGGGCATGTGCCACCCTAAAATAATCTCTTCACAGACTGGACGATTAAACAAATAAAGCAGCGCAACATTACAGTAACTAACAATAAATAAACCACTAACTTACGTGTACTATTAGAGCATTTACGT